AGCAAAGAGCTTCTATGCACATTAAGTTTGTCTATGGTTATTTGTTTACTCACTTAGCTATGTTCATTGGTAACATCCCAACTCGTATCCAGGACTTATCCCATGTTTGGACGCAGACAAAATGGGAAAAGAAAGAAAATTAGAGAGACAAAAGTTTTTCTTTGTTCCAATGTCGGAGAAAGACTGAGAGGAAAGAAAAATTGGAGAGAAAATGAGATAGGTCCCACACCCTATTTTCTCTCTAACTTTTTACTCCACATGTGAAGGAAAAATAAGGAAAAAAACTCATTTTTCCTTCATGCCCTCCGTCTTTCATTTTTTATATTTTATTTTTAGCCTTTATTAATAACATTGAATAATTTATAATTCATTTATTTCTTTTTATTATATTGATTTTAAAAATTATTTTCTTAATTTTTTATCTTTAAAAATAGCATCTTTCTTTTATAATGTAATAACATATAATAAATTTGACTTTAAATTATTTGATTATACTAGTATTTTTTTTATTATGCTATTTACTTCGATTTAAGCATGGTGTATTTTTAAATATAAGAGTATTTTAGTTGATATTTGGTTATTTTCTTTCATTCCTATTTTCTCTCTCATTCATCCAATAGAAGGAATAATAACATTTTCTCTCTAGTTTTCTCTTCTTTCTATTGTCTCTTTTCTCATTTTTTCCTCCACTAAAAGAATAGGAGAAAGGATGAAATATATGGGGATTAAATTATTAATAATAGGTAGGTTCTTATGATGCATAGTGATAGGAAGAACAATACTCTTCCAGTTCTTAATATAAGACCCATTTAACTAATTTGATTAGATTAAGAAAGTTAGGTAAGTTAGTTAATTATAATAAATGTGGCATGTTTTTTTCCTAAAATATCATAATCATCTTTCTTAATACCTCGTCTTCCTCTTCTACTTGATTATAGTTGAGGGAGTATCCATAGGAGTAATTTAGAGAAAATTGATAAATATAATAAATAGATCTTATATTTAGGACTAAAACTAACTCAATAATTAGGTTTTATATTAAAGATCGGAGGAATACCTCAGCTGACATGTTGGCTAAAGCTTTTCATTATATGGAAGCTAGCTTTTATTTCTTTGATCAATATCTACCTTTCTTGAGAGGGGTGATCTTAACGAAGAAAGATAGTCTTTGTACTTGCTTGATGTTTGGTTGAGTACGATTTTCAGTATTACTCAAAAAAAAATTTAAAGAAACTAGAGAGATTTAAAAGCAAGTTAAATAGAGAGGAAAAATTACAAACACTTCGCTATATACATATGTGTAATTGAAAATAACATAAAATAATATGTTTATATATTTAAAGGTTAAGGTGTATTTAGCACTCTAAAGTTTTTTTTCTAGATGTATCAAGCAACCTAAAAATTTTTTGTAATGCATTTACTACTTTGAAGGAATTTCTAGGTGCCTATAATACCGTAAAGTATTTTTTCATATACATCCAGCATCCTAAATTGCTAAGTGTGAAATTGCATTAAAAAATACTTTAAGGTATTGGATGCATTTGAAAAAAATACATCAAGGTGCTAGGTGTCCCACCAATAATTTTAGGATGCTAGATGCATCATGAAAAATGCTTTAGAATCTTTTATGCATATTAACCCTAATTTTTATTCTTATTTTCTGTTATTAAGAAAAAAAAACGCGAACAGCCAAGCCCATTTTCCATACATGTTAACACGAGTTGGGTGGGTTGTAGGTTATTCTGGCAACCCGTTCGCAGTTACCTGTGTTATGCTTTATCCATCCCATTTACATGTCCGACATTCTCCTCCTCCAAGAACCAAGAAAAAGGGTTGAGCCCATCGTGTTGCCTGTTTAAAGCAAGTTTAAATAGAGGGTCGAACTCCTGTCAGGTTTAAAAAAGTTGGCTCATAGTGCTGAAAATTAAATGGGTAGGCCCCAGAGGACTCCAGGACCTATTTAAACTTGTCATTTCATTTTAGTTTATTTTAGGGTTAATATAATTTTTAGTCTCTTAAATTTAGTCTCATTTTAATATTAGTCCCTAAAATTTCATACTTGTGGTTTTGATCCCTGAAATTTAGTCCGTTAGCAAACGTTAGTCCCTGGTAGTAAAAGGCCGTTAAATTTTGCTGAGATGGCACAAACATTGTTAGTTTAGATGATGTGGCTTATGACCTAACAACATAACCTCATTATGTGGCCTGATGGGCTGACCTGGACAGATAATTTTTTTTTTTTTTTAAAAAAAAGAGGAGCTTCTTCGCGTTACGGCCACTGTAATCGTTGGCTTGGGCTTCTTCATTGACGTCGGAAGAACTCGTCTGAGTAGGTATCCTCATTTGCGGCTTAGAACATACTCTGTTTCTTTAAGTTCTGGCTCAGTTTCGGCATTCAAGAAAGTGTAGTTCATCTCCGGCCGTTGATGCAGTGATGCTTGTGCAGAAATTGGTGACATCCTTTGTACCAGTTTCATCATGCTTCTCTTGCCTTCCTGGGACGGAATCACTGAAAATTTTAAACAGCACATTTTTCATAGTAAAACAAAACCTTTAACATCACAGGTAGATATTATACGGCAATGAGGCACATGTTTATATCAAGATATATATATTGTAGACCTCCAAGATCACAGGTTGAATCGTTAGGAACCATTAAACAAACGAATCGTTCTCACATTCTTTGAAGTGTAATGAGCCGCCTTTTTGCTGCCAATGCCAAGCCACTGTAAATAAGGCTTCTGTAAACACGATGAATTGGTGTTTCATCTTCAATCTCTATATGTTCAACCCAAGGCACCCGCTTAAGAAGTTTGAAGACAATAAATTAATGGAGATTGCTTTTTCTGGGTATCTAAAATCAAAGTAGCTTATAATTTGGGTGGATTGAGCTTAGAATACCCATGAGGCATATCCTGGATATGAGACCGAAACTGAGGAGTAAACTGGTTATCTTGAGGAAAATCATAAGATACATCAATTATCGCTATAAGCCTTGCTCAATTTGCTGACAGTATCACAATTGAGTATACTTTATTCTCCGATGGGTTCTTCTGGTGTCCGTGAAGAAGCCCAAGCCGGCGATCATAGCGGCGGTTGTAGAGTGAAGAAGCTTCTCTTTTTTTCTTTTTTTTTTTTGGTTTCCCTCCTTTTTAAACTATCTGTCCAAGCCAGCTTATCATGCCACATAATGAGGTCGCGTTGTTAAGTCACAGGTCACATCATCCAAACTAACACTGTTTATGTTATCTCAGCAAAATTTAACGGCCTTTTACTACTAGGGACTAATGTTTGCTAACGGACTAAATTTCATGGACCAAAACCATAAGTATGAAATTTTAAGGACCAATATCAAAATGAGACCAAATTTGAGGGATTAAAAATTATATTAACCTTTTATTTTATTTAAATTTGAACCAATATGATTTGCATAGGGAAAAAAATTAGATTGAACCAGCCACTTTAACTAGAAAACCGATCAACTGGCCTGTGGTCTAGTCTGATTTAAAAGCTAAACCAGTCATGGAGGAAATCGGTATCCATCTAGTAAAACCAGTAAAAACTAGGGTGAACTGGTGAAAACGGGTTTGAATGATTATATTGCTATATATTTTATTTTTTTCATTTAACTCATAATATCGCAATCGCTATTGATTTGAATACTCTTTAATAATAATTTTAGTATCAATAATTATTAATTTTAGTTATTGAGAAATCGTAAAGATAAAAATTCTCAATATTGTTGTACTTTGTTATCGTTATAATCAAATTATTGTTGTGTTTTCTTGTATTTTGTTATTAGTGATTATTAATGTTATTGTATTATATTATTTTCAATTAAATTATATTATTTTAATATGATTAGTTTGAATCTAATCCATTGACTCTTGGGCTGCTATCTCTGTTAGTTTAGTATCTGATCCCTTTTTTTCTTTCCTTCACGATTTGATTATTAATGATTATTTATCTAAATATTCTTTTAAACTGGCTTCTCTCCACTGTCAAGTCCCATCCGCTGCTCTCCTCTACACAAAACACTGCCATTTTGGGTCCAAAAAGAGGAGGGCTGATTGCTTCTTCTTTTTTTTTTTTTGGCATTTTGAACTATTTTATTAAATAGCATCTAATATGCTAAAATAATTTTTGGTATACTTAACACATTAAAATATTTTTTAGAAGCATTTTGCATTTCTAAAATAATTTTTCTAGACTCAGTATCTCAAAATATTTTTCCAATAACACCTAGTGTCTTATAATAATTTTTGGTACATTTAACATTATAAAATATTTTTTCAGTAACATCCAATATCTTAAATATATTTCTTAGCAGCAACATGCAACCTAAATTTAGGACATTGATGCTACTTCCAAAACACTTTTAAGGTAAAAACTATTTTTATGACATTGGATGTCACTAAAAGAATATTTTATAATATTAGGTGTAATAAAAAATTATACTAGGATATTAGATGCTCATGAAAAATATTTTAGTGTACTGAGTGCACCACTACATGCTAAAAATTATTTTAAAATACTGAGTGCTACTGGAAAAAAATATTTAAGGGTTTTGAGTGTATCTAAAATTATTGTAGGATACTAGATACTACTAAAAAAATATTTTAAGGCATTGAGTGTTTTTTTTAATTACCATACAAGACGTTCCTGAAAGAAATGTTCTTGCTTGCTGAGTGTACCAAAATTATTTTAGAGTACTAAATGTATCAAAAATTATTATAGGATATTGGGTGCTACTAAAAAAAATATTTTAGAATACTGAGTCTAAAAAAGTTATTTTAGAATGTAAGTGCTTCTAAAAAATATTTTATGACAGTAAATGCTACCAAAAAAATTACTTCAAAATACCAAAAAAGGAAAAAGGCAATCAGCCCCCTCATTTTGCACCCAAAACGGCAGTGTTTTGGGTAGAGGAGGGCAGCGGAAAAACTCAGGAATGCAGCCCCCGCGCTCCCTCATACAGAGTCACAAACAAATTACTCGGCATTCAGCCTCCCAGCGTGCGGCCGTGCGTCCGATCCCCTTCCCTGCAGTGAGCTTCTCCATCACGATATCTTGCCTCTCCCCATCGTCGACTCGCCGTGCCCCTCTTCCCAGCTCTACCTCCGGCTCCTTTAGCCTTTCTTCTAGCATCTTTGTCGGCTCCGCGACCTCAGTGGCTATTATCAGCGGTGTGACAGAAGTCTGGTTTCTTCGTACGTATCTTCACCTTCTGGCTTCTTGCTGTTTCGGGTCAGTTCATTCTCCATTTCTCTCTCTCAGATTCTCACCACTTGTAATCGTCTTTGTTGATCCTCAGTCTCTCCAGTTCATAAATTAGAGATTGACTTATGCATGATTTTTGAAAGTAAAAGGTAAAGTAAGGTTTTGTGCCATCGGGGCTTTTGTTCCAACACGAAAGAGCAGGCTCTATCTTGCCATCGTTGTCGCCTCATAATGTAACCTTATATTTGTTCTTCTCTGACTCTTCGGATCTTTAGCTGTGCGTCGATATTGAAAAATCTTTATATCAAAGTTTACTTTATAGCTGCAGCTTCAGCCAATCACTGTTCCTGTCTGAAACTTTGAGTAGAGCAGCATTCTTCTCTGACTCTTCGGATCTTTAGCTGTGCGTCGATATTGAAAAATCTTTATATCAAAGTTTACTTTATAGCTGCAGCTTCAGCCAATCACTGTTCCTGTCTGAAACTTTGAGTAGAGCAGCATTATTTTCTAATAAGAGCAAAATGGAAGTTCGTGTGGAAAATATAAGAGGCAATATTGAGTTCAGTTCTCAGAATGGATCTCTAAGGTGGGTGAAATTCTTCTATTGGTTTTTCCCCCCCTTTTTGTATGAGAGGACTTGTGCTCGTTTTTTCTTCTCTTTCCTTTTTTTTTTTTTTTTTTGTAATGAAAACAAGAGACCAGGCAAAATGATTGTATTGTCAAGAATTAACCCTTTTTTGTCAACCCTTTAACACTCATATTTTATCAGTTTGGGAGATGGTGGTGATGATAGTAATACATTACTGTTGCCGGCCAAAAGAGGGAAGAAAAGAAAAGGCATGGATCAGGTGTGAATGGCAAGATGATTATGCATACGATTTGTTTCATATTTGTATCCTTGATAAATGCAGAGTTTTTTTCCTTTCTTTAGGTACATGGAGAAATCAATTCAAATAAGAAAAATAAGTTGGGCAAATCTCAGAAAAGGAAGATGAAGAAGCTACAGGTTTGTGTAAAAATAACAATGACACGGTCTTTATTCTCTTCTGCTTTCGATATAACTTGGTTTTCCTTGATTTTTGAAGGAGGAAAAGGAGAAAGAACTTCTGCTGAAAAGAAGCATTGAGACATTAAAGTATGTTAACCTTTATTTTCTTTATTTCGTTTTTCTTTTGGATAAGTGACGAAATTTTACTTGAAAGAAATAGAAATTACAATTTGTGTGCCACGAAGTTGCTTACACACTCTGGAACTTTTTTATCTATTGCAGCAAATACAAGATTCCAGAGTATGCATATCCTCTTTTGCAGTCTGCACGGAATATGAATCAGGTTAGGATAATTAAAAAAAGAAGAAGAAGAAGATAATTTTAATCCCTGAATGTTGTAAATTAAAAAAGGTGTTTGGGCCCTTTATTTATTTAATGTTCTCACGCAATGTAGATGGAAACTGTGCTAGAGAGACGGAGGAGAGCTGTCTGCTTATTAAAAGAAGGCTTGGAGGTTACGGATAATCATGATCTGTACAGGATTACAGATGTTCGACATAGAATTGAACATGAGAAAGATGAAATTCATATGACACAGGAAGTTGAGGAAAATGACCAAATTCAACCAGTTGGATTTGAAAGAGAACTTGCGTGTGAACCTCCTTCTTTGGGGTCCTCTAAGGAACTAGCTTGTGGTGATAAATCTTTTGAAAATAATGAACCTCTTGTTGCCGACTCCAAGGTATGGTGTATGCTCGTTGTTGAGGTGTGTAGATGGTGCATTTGGATGAATAGATGGCTATGTTTATTTCATCTATCTTAACACGAATTGATCCATTTACGAACTGCATTATCCATCTTTTAGTGCGGGCAGTTGAATCATTGTCAGTTGGAGAAAATTATCACATATTTGCACAAATTATCTGCTAATGTTTATCCTGTAATATGGAGATCGCTTTGCACTAAAGTACACTTATACATTGTTCACTAATTAGTTTATTAGTATGTCGCAATGTCATTTCCAAGTGTTTTCCTTACAAGTGAGACGACCTATGACTTTTGTATCTGTAACTTAATTTAATGGTATTTGAAACTTGGGACAGGATGGGACATCTGAGCTCTCTAAAAGCAATCTCAATGAACTTAGCATCCTTAATGACTCCTCTGCTTCAACTGTCCCTACTGTTGTGCATGTACATAGACCAACTGAGGTTCAAGACAAAAGAAAGGATCTTCCAATAGTCATGATGGAGCAAGAGATTATGGAAGCCATAAAATATCATTCTTGTGTTATTATATGCGGAGAAACTGGATGTGGTAAAACAACTCAAGTTCCTCAAGTGAGTACCTTTTATTGTTATATGATGGTGATATCTTTTAGGTTTTGAAACTTAATCTTTGAGAGAACATCATAATCATGATATGTTGTATTTTTTGTATTCTTTCATGATGTCAGTTTCTTTATGAAGCTGGTTATGGTTCGAGCAAGTCAAAAGTTCACAATGGTATTATAGGTGTTACTCAACCACGTCGCGTTGCTGTTCTTGCAACATCAAAGCGTGTGGCATATGAGCTTGGCCTTCATCTCGGAAAGGAGGTTGGCTTTCAAGTTAGATATGACAAGAAAATTGGCGATAATTGTTCCATCAAATTCATGACTGATGGAATTTTACTACGTGAAATTCAGGTTCTATTTTACCTGATTATTATTTCTTTTGTACGCTCAGTTTTTTCATCAATGCATTTTATATGCATGCCATAAAATAGTTTTCTTAGTAACTTGTATGCTTTTGCTTTGTATTCTACCTATATGATGTGCTATTGTCCTGTAAAATTATAGTGCCTTCATAGAATTAGGGAAAAATGGTTGGTAAGGCAACAAAAACTTTTATTAATTTTGAGGATCATAAGATGTTGTTAATACTTCCTGGCATTAGGAAACTCGATAATACATCCTTCCAAGTGAAGAAGTGACTTGATAGTATCATTATGTGAGCATGAGCGTATTATCAACATAAAGTGTGTCATGGCACCTTAGAATGGATACCTTTACCATCCACAGGTTTTAACTTCTCATAATTCGTATTGGCATATTATGTTGGTTGTTAGAGTCACCACATTCTATGGTTATTATTATTAATTACTACTATTTCTTTTGTTTTTGGTTGATTTTGTTTATTAACATTAAATATAAAGAAAATGGGGGAAAAAACACATCTGAGCATATCCCATGGCCTGGACAGGTTTTTGGTGACTATTGGTTGTAGTTAGTTTGCTTATCATTGCTGTGATGGTGATCCACAAGGCATTGTGAAATTATTATGCTATAATGCAACTCAATCATATGAGGTGTAATGGAAAATTTTTCTGCTACAGAATGATTTGTGGTTAAGGCGTTACTCTGTTATAATTCTTGACGAGGCTCATGAGAGGAGCTTGAACACAGATATTTTGATCGGGATGCTGTCACGTGTTATTGTGTTTCGGCAAGAGGTGGATATGATAGTTCTTCGTTTGCAAATGAATGTTTTGGTTGCTCTTTTATCTTCTTGTTCTATAGATAATGATCTTGCCACATTACAGGAATACATAAACCAGCAAAAGAGGATGCTCTCAGGAGCAAGCATAGACCCTAATGATATGATTTTTCCATTAAAGCTTGTGCTGATGAGTGCCACTTTGAGAGTTGAAGACTTCACTTCTAAAAGGTTATTTCGTACACCACCCCCTGTTATAGAAGTTCCTACGAGACAGTTTCCTGTAACAATACACTTTTCAAAGAAGACAGAGATTGTTGATTATATTGGGCAAGCATACAAAAAGGTCTTGGCAATTCACAAGAGACTTCCACCCGGTGGCATACTTGTCTTTGTCACTGGGCAAAGAGAAGTAGAGGACTTGTGCAGGAAGTTACGCAATGTTTCAAGGGAATTAATTTTGAAGGCATCCGTAGATAATCAGGGCACTCTGACACCTGAAACAAATTTTGCTGAGGAAGTAGATATGAAGGAGATAGACGAAGCATATGAGATCCATGGGAATTTGGCCACCCAAAAAACTGTTAGTTTTAGTGCTTATGATGAAGATGAGCAGGATGCATATGGGGATGAATCAGATTTTTCATATAATTCAGAAACTGACAGCGATTTGGAATTTGATGTAGATGATAATCTTGAACATTTAGAGAACAATGATGATTTTGTGAATGTCTTAGGAGATCAAGGGAAACGTGCTTCGTTAAAGGCAGCCTTTGAAGTGTTGTCAAGTAAAGCACAATCAAACTCCAATTCTGGTAGGGAGGAGACTCTTTTGGTGAATAAGGAAGGGGCTTTAGATCAATCAAAAATTTATAAGGAGAAGAGGGCTAGAGAAGACTCTCCAGGTTCACTTTTTGTTCTACCACTTTATGCCATGCTTCCAGCAGCTGCTCAACTTCGCGTATTTGGAGAAATCAAGGACGGAGAGCGTCTTGTTGTGGTTGCCACAAATGTTGCTGAAACCTCCTTAACAATCCCAGGGATAAAGTATGTGGTGGATACTGGGCGCGAAAAAGTGAAGAATTATAACTCTTATAATGGCATGGCAACCTATGAAGTTCAATGGATAAGTAAGGCATCTGCTGCTCAGCGTGCAGGAAGAGCGGGAAGAACTGGACCTGGCCACTGTTATCGTCTTTATTCTTCTGCAGTCTTTAATAATATACTTCCTGACTTCTCTCTTGCCGAAGTTTCTAAAGTACCCATTCATAGTGTGGTTCTTCTGTTAAAATCTATGCTTATTAAGAAGGTAGGCTTAAGATTTGCTTTCTTCACTCTCTGAGTTTCTTCAATTCCATCTGCTTGTCCATATTTGATAATATCTTTTGCTTTATATTTCTGTATCATCAATAATGCACGTATATATTTGGCCAAATAATTTATAATTTGGTTTTGTTGGTAACACCTATTTAGTTGGAATCAACTGAAATGGTCCTTGTTAATTGAAAGTGGGGGCAGGATGGTCATTACTAAGAGTCTTGATTGTGATGAGGATAATTCTTGATTTTTACATCCTTTTGCAATAACTTGACTTTGTCTATTGGACTGGATGAAATGTTAAGATCCTTTTCACAGAAAGGGTCTCCACTACATAAATTTATAACAAGATTGTGTTTGGCCCTAAGAATTAACTGTCACTAGTGGCCTTGGTGTTGCTTCTAATTGTTAGTTTTACAACCCATTGCAAAATGTATATGGCTTTTCAGTTACCTTGTGATTGTATGTGCGATTTATCTACTTTGCTGTCAACTTGCTGTCAACTATGTTTGATGTATCTTAATTTCAGATTTTTTGTATATTTTTTTGTTTTTAATTTTTGTTTTTATTCAACTTGTCGCTTCTTATCCAGGTTAAAGACTTCCCATTTCCTACTCCTCCTAGTGGTGCTGCACTGGTTGAAGCGCAGAACTGCCTGCATGCTCTTGAAGCACTTGATAACAAGGATGAACTCACACCATTGGGGAAACTCATGGCCCTTTATCCCTTGACTCCTCGTCATTCCAGAATGCTTCTTACAGTTATTAGATTGGCAAGGAGCAAGTATAATTGCAAACGACCAAATCTACTCTTGGCATATGCTGCCGCAGCTGCTGCAGCATTGAGCCTATCAAATCCTTTCTTTATGCACTTTGAAGGAAATGATGGTAAAGGGGACACGGAGATGCACGAGAAATCTAGCATGCTGGACGGTGTGGAAGTCATTGACAAGGAAGAAAAATTAAGGAGAAAGAAACTAAAAGAAAATGCAAAAGCTGCTTATGAAAAATTTCGTGTTAATTCTAGCGATGCGCTGACATTAGCTTATGCTTTGCACTGTTTTGAACATTCAGAGAAGCCTGTGGAATTTTGTGATGCAAATGCATTGCACCTTAAAACCATGGAGGAGATGTCCAAGCTTAGGCAACAACTACTTGAACTTGTCTTCTATCAAAGTACTGTTAATGGTTTTGAACAGGAATACTCATGGATTCATGGAACTTTGGAGGACGCAGAACGTGCCTGGCAAGTATCTTGTGAAAAATATCCTCTTTTGCTGGATGAGGAACGGCTCATCTGTGAAGCTATCTGTGCTGGTTGGGTAGACAGGGTTGCCAAACAAATTACTGCGTCTTCTAGGACCTCAGATGGCAGCAAAAGAGTTCCTGGTGTTAGGTATCAAGCATGCATGCATGAAGAAATGGTCTTCCTTCATCGTAGGTCATCAGTTTCTGTTACAGCCCCTGATTTTTTGGTCTATAATGAATTATTATATACAAAAAGACCATACATGCATGGTGTTACTAAGGTGAAGTCAGATTGGCTTGTTGAACATGCCAAATCTTCATGTCAGTTCTCTAAACCCCTAGCGAAACCCATGCCTTTCTATGATCGCCAGACTGACCAAGTAAAATGCTGGGTCAATCCAATCTTTGGGCGTTTTTGTTGGGAGCTTCCAAAATGTCAATTCCCAGTTATTGATGATGATTTCAGGATGCAAGTATTTGCCTATGCTTTGCTTGATGGTCAGGTGTTCCCATGTCTAAAATCTGTGCGAAAATATATGGCAGCTTCTCCTGGAAGCATTTTAAAGAAAGAAGCATTTTGTCAGAAAAGGGTTGTAAATCTCTTGAGCAAGTTGAAAGGTAGGTTGATTGATAGCTCTGCTATGTTAAAAATGGTATGGGAGGAGAACCCAAGGGAACTTTATACGGAGATTTTGGATTGGTTTCAACAGAGCTTTCACAAGAACTTCAATGGTTTATGGTTACAAATGCTTGGGGAAGTGCTTTAGGAGAAAATGAATGCTGTGTCTTCAAGGGAGCGTTAAAGCGGAACAATCACGTAAATTATTGCTTAACGGTTAAGGGCAGCCTATGTAAATTTACATTATTATTTATATTATAATTTTTTTATTTCATAATAAAAGAAAAATTTAAGTATAGCTGAAAATTTATTTTGGCAATTCCTATGATCTTTTTTATGTCATTCTCTCGATGTGTTATGAATTTCTTTTTTTTAAAAAAAAATATTGACATTTTTACTAATATTTTATATTTAAAAAATCTCACTAATCTGACATTAAGTTTTCGTGAGTGAAGTTAGCAACGAATTTATGTCACTAAATATTAAGGTTTTACAAAAATAAGATGACATTTGGCGTGAATCACTAACATGTTCGTCACAAAATTTTCTAGTAATGACCATCTCACGACTCCTAGATATAAAACAGAGGGAAGCGACTAGTGGCAAGGGATTGATGAAAAACTTGATATGAGTTGATATGTGGTGTATATCTTCTATGTAAAATTTGATTCATTGGCTTGATTTTAATTTCGGTTTTTTATTTGGTTATTTCGGTTTTTGATTATATATTTGGTTTTTATTTTTTAAATATTTGGTTTCAATATTCGGTTTGATTAGTAGAAAAAAATTCAGTTATAACCGGGAAACAAAAATAAATATATTTATATTTATATTTAATAAATATTATTATAATAAATATATATGTGGATATATGTGAACTCTTTAAATATATTTATATTCAATAAATATGGTTATAATAAATATTATTATAACAAATCACATTAAATGATGAAATAATATTTAATAGTTGTAATTGTGTTTTATTATTATTTTTAATTTAAAATTACTTTTTATATTTATATATATTTTGATTAATCAGTTAACTAAACCAAAATATTTCAGTTAATTCGGTTTCAGTTAGTTTGGTTAATTGATTTTGGTTTGATATTTAAAACTCACTCTATTCAATTATTCAATTAATTCAGTTGTCACTGAAAACCGAACAAAAATACCAAATACTCACCCATATTTTGTCCTAGTCCGTCCTATCTCGTAAATAGTTTTAGTATTGGTAGCAAAAAATTTTATCACTAAGTTTGGTCATTACATTGCTTGTCACAAAATTTTTTGTTGCTAATTTTATTTAGAATCCCATAATAATTTATATAATTCATAATTAATCATATAAGGATTTAAATATATTTTCAACTATAAAATAAATTGATATTTTTATGAGGTTGGCGTCATGATATTAACTATGACATCATTATTGATCTAATGATTAGACACCTATTAAAAAAAATCTTCAAAAAAACTCGTTTATGTTCCTTTAAAATTCAAATTCAACAAGTGGATAAATTTTGAGGCGTTCAAGGCAACAAGCACTTGCTACATACAAGACTTTTAGGGTGTGTTTGGGTGACACCCCAAACCATGGTTTGGAGAATAATCTACCCAAACACCCCCTCCAAAAACCAAAACCATGGTTTTGACTCCAAAACCATGGTTTTGGAAAAAGCAAAATTTTTTTGCTTTTAGAGAAAAAAGGGAGAGTGTGAGGGCCTATATGATATGTATCTTGTTATTTTTTTATAAACATATTTTTTATAAATATATTTAATCTTATATTTTATAAATATATATACACATTAATTATTTATTAATTATATTATCTTATGTATTATTAATTATGTTGGTAAAAAACATATTATTAACAATTTTATTCCTTCAAATTAAAATATATCATAAAATCTATTTTTTCTGTAATTATCATATTAACTTATGTCTTTTTTTTAGTAATTTGTATATATAAAAAGTGCTTCTGATAACAACTATCCAAACACTCTCACTTCTCAGAATCACTTTTTTACAAAATCTATTCTTCACAGAATCTATTTTCCCCAGAATCTATTCTCCAGAATCACTTTTCCAAACCACGGTTTGGTTTCATCCAAACACACCCTTAATGTTAGTTATATGGGCTTTTTATGTTAATTAATGGAGGGTTGTAAATTGGAGTGACGTAGTTTTTGAGCCACTCTATGGCCTCGTTTGGTATGCTGAAAATCTTGAGAGGGAAAAGAAAAATCCTGTTTTTTCATTAGTGGGATCCGTTTGGCAGCACAATTTTCCTGGAAGGCATTTTTCGGCGGTGGGAAATTTTCTTTTGTACAAGAGAAGATCACTTCCCACCATTTTTGGCATCATGCTAAGAAAATTTAAAGACAAATTTACCCATAAAAAGGGGAAGAGACAAATGATAAAAACGATGGAGGAGAAGAGGAGGAACCAGGTGGGGCACACAAATTGCACAGTTGAAGTAAGAAAGGAGATGAAACATACCTGAATACTCTCTAAATTAAACCACTGAACAATGAATGTACATCTTATAGATGAAGTAACATGATCATTTACCATGTTCAATGCTTGAAAAACAAGGAAACTTAGAGCTAACATGTAGCAATGGTTATCTCCAACCTGTTATTAACCTTTTTTAAACTCAAAATTTAATAATACTAACCGTGGTAGAAAATAATCTTAGTATAATCTTTGAAAAGACTATCATAGTTATAAACTTGAAATGTTAACATGCCAGAAATGTTAACCATGATAGAAAAAACTTGAATTAATCATTAGATAGATCTAACTGAGTAGAACAAATTTCATGAAGAAAGTTTTATAATTAGGAGTAGTTTTACTTCTCAAAATGATTTGTAACAATGAAGAAAGAAGTAAGTGAGAGAGCGACGCTGTGACTAAACGAACAAGGAGAGAGAGGAGAAGAAAAGAAAAAGACGAGGGGGATAGTAAAAGAAAGTACTTGAGATAAACTAAAGTTAAAGACCCTATTTAAAGCAAAGAAGATAACAGTTTGAAACCCCATTCTTTTTAATTTTCAAATATTTAAATCTTTGGAATAAAATTAAGATGTTACAACTCTCCTCACCTATGGAATTTTGTCCCCAAAATTCAAAAGACCATACACAAAAATAAAAAATAAAAGTAACTCAAGTTGTTTACTAAGGAATCAAGTAAGGGTACTTACGACGCATCCGCTCCTCAATCTCCCAAGTGGCATCACTGGGACTCATGCCTTTCCAAAAGACCTTAACAAAGCAGATGGTCTTGTTCCATAATTGTTTGTCCTTAATATCTAAAATCTGTTGTGGTTTCACTTGATAGGTCAAATTTTCTCATAACTCGACCTCTTCGGGCTCAATAACATCTTGTGTAAACTGGATGGATGTGGCAACAACACAAGTCGATATGCAACAGGTCCAATCCACTCTAAAATCTTGTAAGGGCTCATGAATCGGGGTGTAAGCTTCTTGGTTTTGATGGATCCACTGACACTTGTGATAGGGAAAACCTTTAGAAACACCTGATCACCCACTTCAAACTCTAAAGGTCTTCTTTGATGATCCACATAACTCTTCTGTTGACTTTGGGCCATCAATAACTTTTGCTTAATAACCTCAATCTTTTTGGCAGTGATGTTCACTAGATCTGGGCCAATAACTATTTTTTTACTTAATTCAGTCCAACAAAGTGGAGATCTACACTTTTTCCTATATAAAGCCTCTTTCAAAAATGTTCTTCTTAATCTCATCATTATTAGGGATGTAAATTCTCTTTTTGTATTTTAAGATTCCTTCTTCCCCATGTTATAGTCTGGCACACCTCCATTTCCCAATGCCTCTCGAATACTCAATAATTAGTCATCTTCCATTTGTGCTGCCTTCAACTCCTTAAATAATTCATAGTCACCCAAAATTGATTGCAAAAGTAACTAATGTATCAGGCACCACCTAGAGATCTCTCAATCCCTTCAAATAATAGTACTCCTCCAAGCTCATATGGAACACATACATTGTCTTCCTACTTAATGCATCAGCAACTGGGTGATGTTTAAGTTTAAAGTCATAGTCTTTAAGAAATTCTATCTATCTATATTATCGTTGATCAACTTTCCTAGTCTACTTGATACTTAAGACTTTTATGATCACTATAGGTCTCAAATTGGTACCATAAGGATATTATTTCTAAATCTTTAAGAAAAACACTATTAATGCAAGTTTGAGTCCTCACATCTCACAATCCACAACAACTCCAAATATTTGACTGTCAAATCAATTTTAATTCCTTAATCAAATGGTATAATAATTATTTCCTCTACTTAAATAGTCCATTAAACCCATCAATCAACCTTGAATAATAACCACTCATAACAACCCCCAATTTTACATTTAGAACTATTAACATCCAGCATACCAAATCCTAAAATATTCGGTCAAACCAACATAAACCAATCCTTAAACCTTATTTCAAAATATCATCTTAACAATTTTTATTAAAGCTCCTCTTCTAACAACAAACCCTAACTCCAAATCACCAAAAACCTAAATCACAACAAAACTAAATTGACTAAACATTTTATATAAGCCAAGTAACTAATTTAAACCCATTAAAATTTTCACATTCCAAGATTGCTCTAAATATTGAAATATATAACTTCAAATTATCATTCTTAATATCACTAATCCTCAGTTAACCTTAATCAACAATAATAATCCTTAATTTTCACACAAATCTAAAATTTGAAACACCACTATATTCATTATCATTGAATATTAGGATACTATAGTAATTTATACCCAGCCTCAAGCTATTATCTTTCTTCTTTACAACAACAACTATGAACTATAAGGAGGAACACTAGGTATGCTAAACTTTTTTTTTTAAAGTAGATCTTCAATCTCCTTTTTCAACTTTTCCAACTTGAATGGTGACATTTCATAGAGAGCCTTTCAAATATGCTCTATTCCTTCTCCCAACTCAATATAGGACTCTACCTCATGCCTTAGGAGAATACTTAGCATTTCATCAGAAATTACATCCATAAATCCATTCAAAATATCCATTTGGCCATTTTTCAAATTGTGATTGTCAATACACAATCATCTGCTGTAGTCGCCCTTTCTTACTAACAATATCAGTGAACCCTGTGATATAACACTCAGTTAAATAAATCCTTTCACCTTAGTCTATTCAATAATAATCTCTTTGTCCCTGCTACTAGAGAAGAATGCCATACCTTAAATGCACTTATACTTATTTATTTGAGTAGGCAAACATAGT